TGCCATGCATGAGCATATATGTGATTGGTGGGAAGGGGATGAAAGGGATGGATCTGTCCGTGATATTTTTTTATTCTTAAGATTTCTCTTTGATAGCTTATTTAAAATTTATATTTTATATTTTATACCGGCAATGAGTGATTCTAAGTAACAAAAACCGGTAGTGATGTCGTACCTCGYATGCGATCTACCCAAATAGGCGATCTACGGATTATTCCGAGCACCGAATGGTGCCAAGATAATTTACGACTGTATGTACGATAATATGACTTCCCTTTAATTGTTCAATTAATACGATAAGATAAAATATACGATAGCCAGACGCCCAGACACATAGGCGCCCGCAGGGAGGGCAAGCTGAGGAATTTGCCCCCCAGGCTTATTCAAAATATTTTTTTTAATTGAAAGTTTTAAGATAAATTACTATATACTAAACAACAAATTTAAAGTATAAAATAAGTCGTAATATAATAAAATATAATATATTGTGTACGAGTATAATAAAAAGGTTATTATTTTAAAACACCTAGTAAAATTATAATATTTATCCTCAAATTCCTCAGCTGCCCCCCCCCCCTAGAAAAATTTCTGCCGGCTCCAATGCCCAGACACATCGCCACGGTAGGCCGTAATTATACGGATAATAATTGACCGGAATGATAAAAAATACGGAAAGTAAAATGACGGAACGTGATACCGCGGAACGTAAAATAACGGAATGTAGTAATTCGGATCATAAATTTCTGAAACGTAAATTTACGGAACCARAAAAATGCGGAAAAAAATAGATTGGAACGTATAATTACGGAACCAGAAAATTTTGGAATGTAATATCACGGATAGTAATACCCCGGACTGTATTATATTCAGAAACGTAACTTCAYGGAMCGTAATTTTGCGGAAAGTAAAATTACGGAATTCGAAATACCATAAACCAATGATTCTCAACATAGGGATATCTAACTTTGTATAATTTGGTTTTGTTTTTTACATCTTCTACAAATAATGCATTATTGACAAAATTAACTACAGTTGGAAACAGTAGTATAGCCAGGGAGGGGGTGATGGGCTGTAGCCCTCCCCTAAATTTTAAGAAAATTGAAAAATTATTTTATTGGTCTATGAAAAACGCTACAAAAGGCTTAAATTTTACTGATTTTAAATTGTCATAGCTTTTTTTTATTTGTTATATATTAATAATATTTCGGCATCTGCATGTTATACTTATGGAAGAATCTAGGTAAACCACCATTGTGAAAAAATTGATAGCCTCCCCCGAAKAAAAATCCTAGCTACGCCACTGGTACATACCTAATATAATTTTATCTTGAATGGAAGGCACAAAGGTGCCTCAAACATATTTTTTTTAAAATTAAAAACACATTTTTGAGGTTAATTAAATACCTAGGTACTTATTTAGTTAAGATCTGAACTTTAACACATTTAAACAATAAAGCCATTTTTTAAATCATATGTCACGT